CCTCCGATCCCTGCCAGCGCGGCTGGTGGTGAGCGGCGGCGGAGAGGGGCCCGGGAAGTTTGTGACAACTTCTCCATCCCGGGAGCCACTCGGCCGCTCAAGTTGGAGCCTGGAGTTCGAGGCTGAAGCACTCTGTGCTGGGGCCCTCGCCGGCTGTTGCGAGGTCGGTAGTGGACGGGCTGCCGGCGCGAACGCGGGTGTGGAGTCGGGCTGGAGGAGGATCAAGTGCTGGCCTCGGGGGCCGGGGCCTCGCAGGTGCGGCTTCGGGGTCTTCCCGCGTCCCCCTCAGCGGTTCGGACCTCGAGCTGCTTCTCGGGAAGTTTCTCCGCCGACGACCCCACCCCTCTCCGGGGAGCCGCCGAACCGGGTTTTGGGCAACTACTGCGAGGGGACGAAGCAGGCTAGTGACAGGTCAGGAGAGGGACACGTGTGCGCACCGGGGAAGGGCACTGAGCCGGACGCTCTCTGAGGATGACCCCGAAGACCTCCTTGGAGGTCTGGGCTCTGGCCTCCACTAGGGCCACATTGTACTTACAGAGTGTCAACCACAGGGTCATCTCGAAGAGTTGCCCTGGCTGGCAACTTTGACCTCTACGCCCTTCCTCGGAGAACTTTATCGGCGGCATTCTGGATTTCTAGGCACATGGTGTAAGACTTGGGCTCCACACGGTTTAAAAGAGGGAAAACCCAAAGATGCCCGGTTCCCTGGAGAGAGCCTTTTTGCCCGACGGACTGGGGTTGCAGGTTTGCATCCTTGGAAGCCAGAGGACCTGTCTTTCCCAAGAGGATAGAGGAGGGGCTCAAGAATGAGTGAAATGCTCCATGTCAGGTTTTGTCCTAAGCTGCCCCTGAAATTTACAGGGAGCTGCCCGCAGAGTAAGTCACCCTTCAGAACTTTATTGAAATTTACCTCCTACCTAAAGAGGGTTTTCTGAGAATGTGAGATTTATTCTACCAAATACTGCTGCAGTAAATACATAAATGATCTTGTACTTTAAGTCTGAAGAATGCCAACACTGAGGTGTTTGCTCTAAAAACCTTTACTAATCTCTTATGTGGTACTAGTGCTATGATTTAGCTGCAGTCCTTTATTTCTATCGCATATTATTTTACTAGAACAGTAGTACATTCATATAGTGGCTGCTCCAGTCTGCTGGCAAACATTAGCATTCAAGCTTACATTTTTGACAAATGTGCAGACAGGAATAGCATGAATAGGCATCTTAAATATTAACAACCTAAGCATCTGTTGTGAAACAAATTTAATATATTTACTCTGTTTTTCTCACGTTGTTAGAAAAGGTTATAATAAGTGCATAATTTCAACTTTAGTTAGCAGAAGTAACTGGCTGTCTTTCACTACCTCTCCAAGTGTTTAACACAATCACCAGTCATAAATACTTTAATTAACTTGGTTAAGCACGTTATTAAATATGCTTTAGACAGTATGCGTACAACATAACATGTAGCAGCAGCAAAATATGTATCCTATTTGTGCACATTTTAAATGACTGCATTTTATAAATACACTAAATATGTTTATTCTTCATCTCCATTTGACACTACTTCATATTTTTTCTGATGGAAACTATTTTAAATAAGAGTTCTTCAGTCATGTAATATATAATAGGTAAACAGTAGCTATAAAGTACAAAGCATTGTTAAATTTGAATATGACTACATGTAACAAGATTATGCAAGAGAAATAAAATCACTCCTCAATTTTGTATTCAGTTCTGAATAATGAATACAAATGATGGATAAAAAAAAAAAAAGAATAGGTATTTCCTTCCTAAAGTACTACCTCCTTAAAATGTGTGTGTGTAGAGGGATAAAGAAGACCTAAAAAACTTCCAAAAAGTCTGAACAGTTATTACCAGAATCAGTGCATTCCTCACTTTCCCACAAGCTGAAATATGTAATAAATAATAGTTCTTTGTCTATAAAAGTATTCAAAAGGAATGTCTTTTGTTCAGTTGTTGTAATAAATTAATGTGTTTTCTGGTTGATAATCTACAGAAGTAGTTCTTTTGTCTCCCAGCATCCTAAACAAGAACAACAACAGAAAAATGATTTATTTCAGCAGTCTGTTGCTAGCTATATTAGCTATATGAACCTGTGATTGAATAAGACACAATATACTGAGTGATGGTTAAGAAGTACTACATTAAATTAGAAGCAAATGAAATATCTGGAGAATTTCAGGTTGTTTTTTTGTTTGTTTGTTTTTGTTTTTTTGTGTGTGTGTGACAGGTTGTGGATTATAAATTAGGCCTAGAAGGTCAAGTGACAAGCACCTGTTCCTCATTATTGTAAAAATCTTTTGGTTACAAACACTATTAAGCTAAACACAACATGGATATACAGTAGGGACTCTATAAAGCACTCTAGTGGTTTTTCATCTGCTCTGTAAATTTGCAAAAGGGCCATACATCGATATGCCCCTTATGCAAATATATCATTTCTTCCATACTTGTTGTCGCAGATGACTGCAATTAATATTATATTAGTACTTGGAATTGGTGAAATACACAAGTGTATATGACTAAATCAATCTTCAGGTTATGTGTAGTTGAATGTGAAAACATTGCTTTTCAAAACCCCTTTCCTTTTAGAGTCTGTTGATCAATCATCAGAATATTGTTGGTGTGTTAAATAGAAACCTTTTATACTTGTGTTTTGTACTTTTTAGATGTGCCCCATTTTAAATGATGCCACAAAATGTTTTGCTAAGTACTTGCCCATGAGGGGAAAATTAGTTGCTACATATCATCATAGCTTTGTGGCATTTACAAAATAGGAAGAAGATCCTCATTTTATGTGAATGCCATTAGGAAGCATGTCTTCTGATCTTCAAACTTGGTGCTTCTGTCAGGAGCATTCAGAATTCTTCCTACTGGAATTAGGGAGTATGGCAAGATTTTTGTGAATGGCTTACTTTTAGGTGTTTCAGAGAACAAAATAAGCATACATATGTAAAAGACCAAACTAGCACAAGGCTACAAAATATTAAAGGTGCTAGTTGGCAGAGGAAGATTTTGAGTAAATTAGGTAATTCAGATTATTAAATTCTACATTATTTAAATATATTCTCTGTCATTCTTGTTTTTAAATAGTTTATGCTTTTATATTGGGTTCATTTTTAGCTTTTGTGATCAGATTACACAACAGCCATTACTCTTGCTTTTCAAATTGATTTGGTTTTCAAACTCCAAAACTGTGCAATGATTTTAACAAATTGGTTTACATTTTGACAGAACAGAGTTAAGTTAATTAATAGATCAGGCACGAAAAAATCATCCATGGTAGGGATATTTTCTGGTAAAATGAAAGTTATGTTTCAGCATGATGAGCATCAGGCTTCAGTAATCTGTTCCTCGTGTGGAATGAACACTTCCTACTTTGAGCTAGCAGGCACCTACTGTTTATTTACGCTGCATTAAACTGACAGCTCAGCAATCAGAGGAAAAATATTACTTACCTTCCTGAAGTAAATACCAGTTTATAGGTTAGTGCATGTATTTATATTCCTGTCACCACTAAATAACGGCTCTGTCTCCGTTTTAATATCTACCTGTGCTATAACTCGGGGCTCCTGACTCTTCATGGTTGGAAGTAGGGGTTGAGAGGA